CACTTCGACTCGTGTTGTGATGATCCTGACGTTTTCTACACTGATGATTGATTTCGGGTGGAACCGGCCCCTCATTATCTCCACTCTCCCGTCATTTTCGGGATCTCCAGTGATCCGTGAAAACTCAAATTCGTTTCGGTGAATTATCCACTAGCCAGATCGCGATCTTTTCCAGTTTTCCAGTCCCACCGAGACAATCAATCATCTCTAATTTTTTTGGGGGAATCATTCGTCCAGAGAGATTACCATTATCATTGTCATCAGCTACCGTTTCAACTGGATTCACCAGTCGTCATCCTCCATTATAAAAAACCAAAGGGCCTGGTGAATCCTTCAACCGCATTGGTAGCCCTTTTTCTTCGTTTTCGGCATCAACAATCCTCTCTCTCTCTCATCCACTCTCGTGACTCGCGTGTGTAACAGAGGGGGGGGGGGGGGGGGGGGGGGGGGGGGGGGGNGGGGGGGGAGGGGGTTGGGGGAGGGTGTGGTCCCCCCGGCGATGGTAAACCCAGTGCCGTGGTTGGTGATACATCTGTCTCTCTTATCCTCACACAGTAGCCGCCTAAAAAAGGAAAACCGGTAGCTGGGGTTTTAGCGTTAGGGCGGTTACACAGTAGCTGGGGCGCTTTGGTTGGCTATCCAACACGCGTCGTCTCCCCTTTTTCTTTTGGCTTTATCCAGTCAGATGAGTTGGAATACACGCCGCGTGTCATCGGGGATCATCAACGCATCCATTGACTTTTCCTGATTTTATTTGGAGGAATTTCTAAAAAAAAAAAACAGGTGCTTGAAGCAAAGTCGAGGGCATCTTCGTTCTGAAGGCCTATACGAGTCTCTGACTCTTGCGATCTAATGACGTAAGACATTGAATCAACTGCCTGAGCCTTCAATTTTGATGGATATAGAAATCAAAGACGTGAGGAACTTCAAACCAGAGGCTCCTGTTTTTGGATGATTTTGCGTACGCGCTCTTTCGACGACGTAAAATACAACTCGAAAGTCCGAAAGCAATGAATTGATGACGACACGAAATCATTCGAGCGCGTCTTTGAAATCGACGACGGTATTTCTTTCATAATTGTAACAATCATAATTGAAAATCTCAAAATTAAATTAATCATGAATTAAATTTGCCGCCTCAGACGACTGGGACCAATGAGGAATAAGCGTGACAGACTTGCGAGATATCGATAGTTATCGACTTTAAGTATGTTCTTTTTAGAATAGGAATAGGATTGTCAGTGTACGATTGTGCAATTTAGAAGTTGCTGACAATTAGATTGCGCAGTTCGTTCGGGAAGTGTGAAAAATGGAGGGAAATGGTGGTCATCTGGGCATCTCCAGGCACATCATCGGGTTGATGAGTTACTCTGGTGG